CTTGCATTTTAAATCAAAACTATAAATGACAAGCCAAAGAATGTGTCAACAAGATTACATGTAACATCAAGCCCGTTGCGTCATAACTGAGAAAATCGCTGTTCTGATGGTGATGTAAAAGAACACTTTTTCTGACGTTTTTCACGAAAATATTAGAAGATAATTGCATGCAATTTTGAAATTATAAGAGGATTTTCAGATAAACTTACACTTATCTCCTATATTCATACAGTCGACTGACTACGCTTAAATTAAATGATTAAATTTTCTTATCTTTAAGCCTTTCAACAAAACGATTTCATCTTCTAGATAAAATAACCCTTTAACAGTTCAAACTGTGCTACAAATAACCAAAAAATCTACTGAAATGGCCTTTCTAAATTAAAAAAAAAAAAAGGATGACTGAAGATACAGCTTCACTCCCAACCCCACTTATACAGATTAAGCTCATTTTACTTTGTTACTCTTTTCACTAGAAAGGAATGAGAGAAAAAGAAAAAATTACAGCAGTTTAAAATGGTGAAAAAATAAGCTTTATTACCAACACAGAGATGAGACAAAGGCACGACTCCTTCAGCCATGGTGCAATAAACAAAGAGTAGAAGCGAATCTTATTCATTAATGTATGCGCAATTGTAAATACAATAAATTTCAAAAAATGCAGAGGGAAAAATTACTGAAATTAATCCTGCAATTAAAAACAGTCCTAACCATTTTACACTGAAGCTTTATTACATGACATAAAAATTTTCATCTTCAATTTTACACTTAAGTCAAATTTTTCAGGAAGTCCTAGGCTGACATAATCAACTTTCACAAGAAACGACAAAACAAAATTAAGTTAAAATCTTTTTCAAAAATCAAGAAACAGAGACTAGAAAAAAACTTTTACCGTTGGTAATCCCGTACTTCAATTGTGAACTTCCTATCTCTATAATAAAGATTGTCGAGAAACCTCCAGTTGAACGCCTGAATTATTAAAAATTTTTCAGAATTAAAAGCCACATGAAAAAAGTTTGCACCCAAAACATACCATACTTCAAAGACAGGAGGAGTTTTTTTAAATGTTATCAAACTACTTCCCTAACTCTGTACAAAGCTCAGCGGCAAAATATCACTCAAAGTTATTATTACTTTTTTAACCCTTCATCATTAAATTTCAATCACAACCTTATTTCATAACAGCTGAAAATGATTGAATTTATTCTCAGAAGCACATTTCGAAAACTGATTATATAGTTAAACAAAAAGAATCATATTCGGGAAGATTTGCTACTAAATAAGGAACAGCCACAAATGGTTGGTAACCCTTTAATTGGAAATTTCCAATTCTTTCCACTCATTTACCAAAATAGTCGCCTGTCAAATTTCTATTTTTATCAAAAACAAGAGATTTTGTAATTTTTTACCTATCTTTACTGAACTAAGTAGAAAAAACCAAATCCTTCTAGTAACTTTATCGACAGAGAATAAAAATCACAAACTACCTTTTTGGGTTTTGATAAATCGTTCATGTTATACTGATAAATCCCACGACTATTAATCGCCACTGCCCAAGGTGTCCCGGCTTTATCACGAGCTTGATAAAAGTGACTTCCATAAGTGGGAGAACGCTCAGCAATTTGCATAAACCTGAAATAATAAATGCCACGTCCCATCTTATCAAGACGCAACAATCCCTAACTTTTAAAACTACAAAGCGATATGACGTGCTTACTTTAAGATAGCGTCCCCTCTTGGAGTACCAACTATTTCCTTGTAAACAGCAAGGATATTGTCCTCACAGGTATAACTAGACACACCATAAAGTTTTACAAAATGCTTTGGCATTTTTATTGCACTTAGAAGAGATCGCGCTCGTTCTTCACTAAAACAACTACCAGACTCAAAAAGAATGAAAAGTTCTACCTAAAAAATAAGAAACATTGACAGCAAAAAATAACAAAAAACAATAGTAATTTAACTGACGTGGTAAAATCCCCATCAAAAATTTGTAGGAAATACGCAACAGCTTTGTAATATTCCAAATCACGCAGCTCCAAAGTGCTCTAAACAGTAAGGGTAAAGCAACTGTATTTCAAAATCAACGTTTTTCAAAATCAAAATTCCGTTTTGAAACTGTTTAACCGTCTTCAAATTTTAATACTTATTGTAAATTTAGGAAAAAACCTTAAGTTCTTATGTAAAAAAGACGAGACAAAAATTGTATAATGTCCAAACAAACCTAAAAAAAAACTGATGAAAAAATTTTTTGTTTCAACCGAAATAGCACTAAGTAACAAGAAGAAAATTAAACTAAACAACGAGTAGATAAAAAGTCACCCTGCACAATTGCGCTTGAGTATCATAGAAATAAAGCTCTACTGTGGACGGATGATACAGTGCTACAACAGAATCGACAAAAAACCTAAAAAACTCAATAACTAATGAAGATCAAATGATAAAAAAGCTTTCCGACAAGAAGTGGAAAGAAAGAAACGAACACATTTAGGAAATTCATACGAGGCTTTATAAGCAATTGTGCATTCAATTGTGCATTAAGCGATTCAAAGCATTACAAAACACGTAAAAACGAATTTTAAGGGTACTTGCCTAACGTTATGATACAATTCCAATGGTTCGTTCGATGACAGGACCTTTCGAGGAAAATCAAACTCTAAAACTCTTCTCTCTTTTGACAACCAGTGGTACTGCTTCCTGAAATTAAAATTCTTTTGCTTGCTCTCCAGGCCAAGTTACTTCATTTTAAAGTCTTTTCC